AAAGTAATAAGGATCAAAAATCAGGTGATGTTTAAAATTCACCATCTTATTGAATATTAAGTACAGCCTCATACTGTATTGCTGAAATATGGATCGCTCTTTGGACAAGGAATCACTTATCGTGAGGTGAGCATTAAGCTTTGTGACATCAGAAGAAGTTAACACAAAGTCAGGAAGAAAACAATGCGGGTTGACAGAAACCAGAGCATCATAGGAAAGTAAGCAGTCAGAATGGGTAGGGTATAATACTGTTTTGTTGCGAGGACTGGCACACGTGGCTGTATGAGGTGGATTCCTGAATCTCCACATTAATGCATCACCTGATGGGTCCACTCTGGGAGTGAGAATCCAATGGGGGCTAAAGTATGTATGAGGCAATGAGAAGCCCTTTCCATTTGGTTTGCAGCTGGGTGTCCTCACAGAAAGAGACTATAGGTTCTTTGCTGGAAGCATAGGAGTCCTGAGAAGCCCCTTCCTTGAACTCTGTTTGGGTCTACAGTCAAAAACTCAAATATGTACAGTGGCCAAACAAGTTATGTAAATGAAGGCAGGAAGCCAGATATAAGATTAAGGGGAAGGCTGGAGACTGCAGCAAACTAGAGAGTGTGACACAGCTAATCAAGTCAGCTGCAGCTCATTTGGGCTGTGTGGGAAGGTATTCTGGGTTGCCACTGGATTTTTTGTGAATTCTCGTAATTTTTAAATCAGTTGGCAGCTGATTCAAAACATTTTTAAAACTGTGTTCTGTATAAACAAATCCACCTACAGGCTGGACAGAGACCCTACCTAGCTCACTAGTTTCAGACCTCTGCTGTAGACAAGAGAATGAACCAATTTGTCTATTTATTCCAGGTCAGCCCTCCTTGGAAACCTAGACTCTGTGTTTTCCAGTGTAATTATTAAAATCCATTGCATACTAAAAGCTTTTTGCATATAAAGCAACAGAGGTTTTTGGTGTATTTAACAGCTCTACGTTGTAGTCTTTGCTTTCAATGTTTTATTCTTTGACTTCATATGAAGATTTACTAAGAAGGCATGAAAACAAAACTCCATTGGTCAATTGCTTTTTCAACGTTCTGTGGCAGGACCTTTCATCGGCTTATTTATTAACACCTGTGGGTGCCGCCAGACCGCAATGATCGGAGGGCTGGTGAACTCGCTGGGCTGGGTCCTGAGTGCCTATGCCGCAAACGTGCACTATCTCTTTATTACCTTCGGAGTGGCAGCGGGTAAGCACATTGATTTCTTTTAACTTGGCTTTAAATGTTTTTATTGAGCATTTTGTCAACAAATTTCACTGTAGAGAAAAGAGACCCATTAAAATATTTTGCCTTTTTGTCTCCTCCTCCCCACTCCACACCCACCCTATGCTCCAGGAAATGCTTTTTATTGTAAGATATTAAACATGCTCTAAGTGTGGGAAAACAACCTAACAACCGTTTGGCTTCCCTATAGAATTTAATTAAGCTGTCCGTGCCTGGTTCTAAGGGCTAGTCCTTTCTCTTATGAGGAACAGGAAAATGAAGGTAAAAATACAGACATAGGTGAGTAGATCAATCATTTAAAAAAATTAATAACATGCTCTCATTTAATAACTGCAGAATGGAGCATGAATCATGGACTAATCATTTTCTCCTTCACACCTCTTCAAATTAATGAAATTGCAGCAAAATCTACATACATGGAGAGACTCTAAGAAGCAAATCTAGAGCAGAGTTAAGAGTGTCACTCCCCAATGAACAGGTAAAAATTGGCTGCCAGGCGGCACAGTTTGCATATCCGTCCTGCAAAATATATTCCCAGCCATAATTTCCTTTATCAGCAGGTAGCAGAATTCACACAGATAGCTTCTTGCTTGTACAACTGTATTTCAATGAACCAGATCTGGCCTTTCTGTTTGCGCACAGTGACAGTCCAAGTAAATGACATGTTGACAGCAAGGTTAGAATAAGAGTTAAAGGTTAGAGTTTGGAATTCTTGCCTTCCCCCCCTCCCCCCCCACTTATTATCTTTGTGACTTCGGGCAAGTTGCTTAACCTACCTGTGCCTCATTCCTTATCTGTAAAATGGGATGATTAAAGAGTGCTTGGTTTACAGTGTTGTTGAAATGATGATATGAAGTCATCTGTTTAAAACACTTACCACAATGCTTGGTGCATAATAAAGTGCTCAGTATATATATTTTTATTATTATATATTATATATATAATGTAACATTTTTATTATATTATAAGCTTAAGTGTATGATTTATGATAACAGAACACGGTGAGCACAAAATCCTACTGTCCCTACCGGTTGGCAAGTTGGTTCTCTGTGATATGCATCTCTCCACATATACACATAAAGTACCTCTGTGTCCTCTGAAGCATAGCTTAAAATGATCCGAAGGACCTGATAATAGTTCTTAATGAAAAACTTAAGATGTTTTCCCTGAATATTTTAGAAAATTTCTCCCTAACAATCCAATAAATAGAGCCAGCACTGGGACTTTTTTGTATTACAGGTCAGGCAATAAACACTCCTGCTGAAATTGAAATGAAGGAACTGCACTGGGGCCTCTGGGCAGATAGGTGGGACCTCCAGTGAATCTGATCTGATGGTGTTTGGTTATACAGACTATATGACTTGATCCTAAAATCTGGGACTTGAGATGTATTCTCATCATTTAAAGATTTCTATGGTTAGACTCTTTGTTTAAATGGAATTTTATTTCTTGCAGCATATTGCTTATTGATCCTATAATATTACCACCATGTTCATTCATTTATTTATTCATTCGCTTACTTGTTCAGAAAATATTACAGATCCAAGAAAGTAGGAAGAAAATTAGGAGCCTGGTGAAAGGCAAGTATGTCTTGAGATGCTGTACTGCTCCCACTCTTTAGATAGAAAAAACAAAGAAAGCTCTGAAAATAAATTTATCCACCTCCTCCACAAATACATATGTAACTATAAGTGGAAAATCCAGCTACAGTTAGCTAATATATGCAAAATGCTGTGGGGCTGTCATTAGTGAAGCATGTTGAAGCTGATTGGTAATCTAGCCCCTATATTTAATAAAAAAAAATAAAGACGCCAAGATCTACTGCAAAAAGCAATTGATTGGGTTATATATATCTATATATACATATATATCACTGGGCAATTTATGTTGGAAAGAAATTTTGCTGATACCCTTCTTCATTCTAAAAGAGGTTGAGACAGATTTGTTTATATCTTTTACCACCTAGGCAATTAAAATGATGTGTGAATGTCCTGCTATTAAGCAGAAAACTAATTTCTGTTTGAGCAGTCTTCCTTAGCCAAGTGTGTCTGGACAAACTTCCACTTTGCCAGAGCTTTCCTGGCTCCTGAAGACGTCTTCTCCCTGCCAGTACTGGTCCAGGACCACAGGAGTTGCTCTTCCCTGCCAGCCTTCTTTCCTCCCCCTCACCCGCGGGGCTGTCCACCTCTCCTCTAAACCTGAGTGTGGTGAAGAACTGTTCCAGGGCCCTGCGCAGGGCTGGACATTAGCAGGGTCTTGTCTGGCCACTGCACCTGAGCCCGCATATCCCCAAGGCCTGTCCTGTAAGCTTATGTAGTAATTGTGCTGATTAGGGATAATAAGGTCACATTAGGAAGTGGGTAGGCGGTTAAGGCCATGGATGGTATAACAGGGAAATAGCATTGTAGCATTGAGCAATATTATTTTCTTCTCATACACAGGAGTATTTTTTATTCATACTAGTTTAGAATTAATGCCACTCTTATGCTTATGTACCTCAGTTCTATTCCTGTTAATCACTTAATTCTGCTGCTGTTTAGAAATCCATAACCACATTGAATTGAGGACATTGGTTATTGACATCAAATTTTTTAAAAATTAAACTTATTTTGAGCTACCAGTGAAATCCAGACTCTGACAAATTTCACAGGAAAAATGACCCAGTTTCCTCAAACAAATAAATTTCAAGGAAAAAAAAAGAGAAATTAAAAGAGGCTTAAAAAACATATCCACAAATAGCAATGTATGGGCTTCATTTGGGTCCTGATTAAACAGTTTTTGAGAAATATCATCACTTATGAGACAATTAGAAATTTGCACCTTGTGGATGTTTCATGATATTAAAGAATTGTTCATTTTTCCAGATAAAATATGATGATTATGCTATTTAAAGAATTCTGTTTAGAGATTTATCCTAAAACATTTGCACATGAAATGATGTATTTGGGATTTGCTTCAAAATAATATGGACTGTGTTTATGGACTGTGGAATATTTTTTTCTGTGTCTTGGATATTAGGAAATGAGATATTTCCTCCTTTCGTGGACTTTAAAGTCATAAAGGTTAATGCAGAGTTTGGTTCAAAATTGGGGAAGACTGTTTTCTTCATGCTTGGTTCTCTCCTGCAAATTATTGGGATGTTGTGACTGTCACTGAGGTTTGGCAGGAGGCCTGGGGACTTGCTCCAGCTTCTTCTGGGAATCACTTAAAAGCTAGCGTAATTGTTCTTAAAACAAGGTATCCACCTGAAGAGGATTCCTTGAGGATCACTGGCTTCTGACAGTTGCTGTAAATTATCACTGCTCTAAGGTAAATAAAGGAGGCCGGTTGCTTCTTGGGGATTATTTTAGAAACTCAGGCTGAAGCAAAATCCTGCAGCTACCCACTAGCAGGCAGGGCTGAGAGGCAGCGTGGTCCCTAGAAAGGGACCAGGCTCTGCCGCTGGGTCTGAATCCCAACCCAGATATTCTCTGACTACGTGCATCAGGGTCTTGGGACAGTAACTTAAATCTCCATGAGGTTCAGGACCCCTTTTTATAGAATGGGCATCACCACAGCTAGTTTTGGGGGTTATTGTGAAAACCGTATCAGATAAAGTCTGTAAGTCAACTGGCACATTATCAACATTCGATTAGAGGGTAACCACTGCTACACATGCAAGTGTGTGTGCTCTGGTCTCCTTCCAAACAAATTCAAGTAATTGTGAAACAATGAAATGGTGCTGAAGCAAGGAGGCCTCTGCTCTCGGGGGGAGTATCGGCCAGTCTGTTTCATACGATCATGCTGCCATCCTTAATGTCAGGAGACCACAAGCATGAGAACCATATGTGGCTCCATGATCGCTGAAGTGGGGCATATGGTGCCCCTGTCTGTACCCAGAAGTTGAGAACACAACCCACAGCCTCTTGGCCAGCATTCTGTTTCATTTCATTTTTGTAACAGACTTCGTTTTCTTAGCACAGTTTTAGGTTCACCGCGAAATTGAGCAGGAAGTACAGAGATTTCCCATAGCCCCCTTGCCCTCCCCTGCACAGCCTCCCCCACTGTCATTTTAATTTTGGCAGTGTAAATCTCAGACCATTCCAATTTTCTAGGAAGGCACAATTAAAAATCAGAGGTACAAACAAGTACTATGTGGTTTGACATCCAGTAGCTACTTCTATTCATGGGTACATTATAATTCCTTTTATTCTTCCAATGAATTGGTGAACAAATTGGCCCATCCCTGGGGCTTCTGTCGACCTCCTGGGCTCGCTCTTCATCCTCTTGTAGGTAAATACTTCCCTGGTGTTCAGCGCAATGAGCGCTGACAGCTGAGCTCTCCGAACCCGTTTGCTCCTCCAGCACGTCGTGAGCACGCACTGCGTGTTCTGGGCAGTCCTGGGCATGCAAGGGGAAAAACAGACCCACTGCTGCCTTTCTGGAGCTTGTATTCTGATGTAAGATGCTGCCATATTTTATTTTTGGAGTAATCTGTGCTGCAAAGCCTGTGGGGGGAAATGATGGGCCAGAAACTTGCAGATGACCTTCTTGGGGCTTACCCACAAAGCTCCTTTTTTACAATCATTTTTTCTTTGTTTTAGAAAATTGTATAGAGACTAATGTAAGAAATGCAGATGACCTTGACATGCTGCACGCTCTAGATGCGGCCATTGACGTTGTGCCCGTCTTTGTCTCCTCTTCCCGCCCGCGCAGGCTTCGGCAGCGGGATGGCCTACCTGCCGGCCGTGGTCATGGTGGGCAGGTACTTTCAGAAGAGACGCGCCCTCGCCCAGGGCCTGAGCACCACCGGGACGGGGTTCGGCACGTTCCTCATGACAGTTCTGCTGAAGTACCTGTGCGCCGAGTACGGGTGGCGAAACGCGATGTTCATCCAAGGTGCCGTTTCCTTAAACCTGTGCGTGTGTGGGGCGCTCATGCGGCCCCTCTCAACTGGCAACGGCGCCCCCGACCCCGGGGGCCAAGATCCGCAGGCGCCCCCGGCTCGCTCACCCGACTCCAAGGCAAGGGCACAGCTGGGGGGAGCCGGGGAGCCAGCGGGCGGGCCTGAGACCCCGGGCAGCCTCGGGGACCTTCCCGCCCAGGCAGGCCCCGAGGCCGAGCTCGGAAGGAACCTGTGCGCCCTGCGGGTCCTGAAGACGGCGGGCCGGCTCACCCTGAGGGTCAGGAAGGGCTTCCGGGACTGGCACTCGGGCTATTTTGGGACAGCCTCGCTCTTTACCAATCGAATGTTCGTCGCCTTTATTTTCTGGGCTTTGTTTGCATACAGCAGCTTTGTCATTCCTTTCATTCACCTTCCAGAAATAGTCAATTTATATAATTTATCTGAGCAAAACGATGCTTTCCCTCTGACTTCAATTATAGCAATAGTTCATATCTTTGGGAAAGTGATCCTGGGCGTTGTGGCCGACTTACCGTGCATCAGCGTTTGGAATGTCTTCCTGATGGCCAACTTCACCCTCGTCCTCAGCATTTTTATTCTGCCCTTGATGCACACGTATGCTGGCCTGGCTGTCATCTGTGCACTGATAGGATTTTCCAGCGGTTATTTCTCCCTGATGCCCGTGGTGACTGAAGACCTGGTGGGGATTGAGCACCTGGCCAACGCCTACGGCATCATCATCTGTGCCAACGGCATCTCAGCGTTGCTGGGACCACCTTTTGCAGGTAAATCATGAAACGTTTTAAGAGCTTAGAGTTCATGCGGGGAATTAGTTTGGCTTCATTTATGTAATGAAGTCCAAGATTAATAAGAAAGAAGTTTCCATTTTGTGCACATTTACCTTTTTCTTCCCATTCCTGCACCCCAGTTTCTCATTTGTGAATTTTAGGAAGTTAAAGGTCATTCTTTCCTGTAGACGTAGGTGAACTTGAGGTCCTTATCTGCAAGCTAAGCAGCCGAGAGGTACAATAGACAATAGAACAGTGCAGGGCACCTGCCCCTGCTGAAGGAGGCAGCCTCTCTCTGCCCAGCTCCAAGTGATTTCTGTCATCAAGAAAATACAGAGAGCTGTTGCCAGCTCTTCGGTCCAACAGAACACAGCTATGAGCTGGATCTAGCCTTGTAGTGGTTTCCTATAGCTGCTGTAACAAATTGCCGCAAACTTAGTGGTTTAAAACATTTCAGGTTTATTATCCTACAGTTCTAGAGGTCCGGAGATTAAATTGGATGACAAAGGGCTCAGATCAAGGCATCAGCAGAACAGGGAAGAATCCATTTCCTTGACTTTTACAGCTTTTGGAGGCTGCCTGTGTTTTTGGCTCCTGGCCCCCTTTCCATCGTCTAAGCCAGCTGCGTAGCATCTTCCCATCCCTCTCTGATTCTGACTGTCCTGCCTCCTTGTGTCACTTATAAAGATGCCTGTGATTTATGCTGGTTCCACTGGATAATCCAGGATAATCCCCATCTCAAGGCCTTAATCATATCTGCAAAGTCCCTTTTGCCACATAAGGTAACCTTCACATGTTCCAGGGATTGGGACCTGGGCATTTGCAGAGTGTTGGGGCATCCTGCCTACCACAGGCCCAGAGGCCACCAGATGGCAACATCTAGGGCAAAATCTCTCACATGTATTCACCTCAATTCAACAGAGACTTTGCTTCTAGTGCTGGGTATCCCAGGAGTCAGAGTCCCCAAGGCATCCTGTTCTGGGTTAAGGTGCTTAACAGAATCTGTCATCCTGGGCAGGGTTTAAAGTGATGGGAAGACACATCAGAGTTGGGCAAGTAGACTCGGTCCCCACGAAGCCAGGTACTAGGCCAGGATGACAAGGTCTACCTTCCAGCCAAAGATTGGGGCGGGAGCCCGCGTAGTGTGACAGGGCCTGGACCAAAAGCCAACACCAAGGTGCTGTCTGTAGGTGGCTGGCTGGCGGCCAGGCCAGGGCTGGTGGCGACTGTCAGAGCCCCCAGAGGTTTTGTACAGTGTAAGCTAACCCAGTAGAGCCTCACCTGTTCAGATGCCCCAAACCCATGCTCACCTGGCCTCTCCTGACTCTGTGGCCTCACATCCTCTACAGGAGTAGGGGAACCTCATGGGTGCAGGACAAAGCCCTCCCTGCCCCTTCCTTTCTAGCCTCCCTACAGATCCTACAGTCATCTCCTGTCTGAGGGCCCCACCAGCAGAGTGCTTGTGTCAACACACCCAGTTTTAAGCACCCCTCGGAATTTGAAGTTCGAGAGATCAGGAGTTTTGCTTATGTAGCTGACACCGGCCGCTGGCTGACTGAAAGTTTAAAGCCTAAGAATCACTTCATGAAACCCAGTGGCTACAAATGGGGTTCCTCTGGATCAAGCTGCTCCTGTTCCCTGCCTGTGCCCAGGATGCAGATGCAGCATTTCTGGGTGACAGTGAGTAACTATAGTGCTACAGCAAAGTACATCGGCAGCTGAAAAGTCAGACCTTGCTCAGTGATCTCATTCTGTAGAATTCTCTCTCAGGAATGCATTTGGCTGTAAGAGAGCGACCCACCAGTGGTAGCTTATACAGATTTAGTTGTGTCACATAACCAGAAATCTATAGTTCAGGGACTGGAAGAGAGAGGAATGGCATCTCCGAGATCCTATCGGTCTTTTCCTCATGCTGGTGCCTCATAGTGGCACAATGGCTGCTGTAGTTCCAGCCCCTACGTTCTCATTCACATTGAGGAGGAGGAAGGGAGGAAAGGCTCAGTCCCAGCAGACTTCCACTTATATCTGATTGGCCAGAATCATATCACACAGTTTGTCCAAGCTTCAAGAGGAACTGAGAACTGGAGTATTTTGCTTTCCAGCCTCTGTGCTAAAGGAAAAGAGAAAAGAACTGAGATTGGGGGTTTGGCTCAGTCAACCAGTGGTATCTTCCAGAGATATTAAACTGAAATATCCATGAAGGGGGTGGAGGCATGGTCATTGGCTCATGCACCCTCTTGTTGGAGGTCCTTCAGATGTATTATATGTGGAAGTGGAAGCTGTGATTGATAGTTCTCTGCATGACCTGGAGGTGCTTTCTGCTTCTCATGGTCATTCTGGGGCTATTTTTATACCGACCCATCAGATTTCAATAGCAGCATCATAACACCACTGTGAAGTGCGGTACCAGTATTCATGATCAATGTTAATAAAAGCGCCAAAGTTTGCCAGCATGGTTTGCTTCTCCTGTTTCTATGGTCATGTCCTTCCCACCCATTTGCATTCCAGTGCATTGCTTAAGTGGAAGAGAAAGGCCTTAGAGCTAGGAGCAGGGAGTTATACCTGGCCAGTCCTCAGGATATCTCTGCCTGCCTCAAGCTTCCTCCCTTAAAGTGGATTCTGTAGGTGAATGTGGTACTCCAGGGTAGTAGAAACTATTGCATTAATGGTTAAGAACCTTCTCTGAATGCATGTCAAATGCTACCAGGGGGCTCTAAAATCAGTGTTCTGATGTGCATTTCTAGGCTAGCAACGTAAGGGGGCCTTTTCTTCTTTTTATTGGTTTGTTTCCTCTCCCACTGAAGAATACTGAACAACATGATTGGCTAACTGCACTGCGTTTATTAATTCATTGACTTTCCAGGCCAATGAGCCAACATTGCAATGAGATGCAAGCCCAGCTTTTATGCATCTTAGTTCAGAAGTGACTGCCAATATGAGTGACTAAATAACTACATTAAATTCATACTAGAAATTCCAGGTGGGCTGGAAATTATTACTCAGCTGCATTTTCTACAAGGAAAATTACTGTTCACATTAAGTTTTTAATGGGTTTAGAAATGAATGAGTTTTCCATTTTTCAAAGTGGTGTCTACTGACATTCAAAAAATCTGGTACAATTTAGTAGCAAGTTAGACAATCACACATTTCCATTTAGGAGAAGAGTATACAATCAGAAGTATAGAACAGACATTTCAACCATGTCATTTAGCATGCTAAACATTCAGTCCATCTCGTTTAAAGATGTACTAATAGTAGGTACCTTTCTATGTTTCCAGCATAAAATACAACAAAACTTGGCCAGAAGATTTGACTGACCAAGAATCTACACATATGTCCTCTATTTATGTAAAATATAATACCTTAACAATTTGCAATGGTTTTCATCAAGAGATGGAAACACTTATTTAATAAGGATGAAAAATAGCTATCAATATTCATTTGATAGACTCAAATGAAAAAGGAATACAATTTAATAGGGAACCAGATTTTATTTGGAAGCTGCTCATTTGAACCCATATGGATCCGGGTTGCCAAGGATCCCAGGCTCTAAAACAAGGAACAGCGATCAGACCTGTAGGGAGAGGTGGCGAGGGATGAATGGGGCAGGCAGCTTGTTGGAAATGTCTTTCCCTGAAGAGTTGTGTCCACATGTGCTGAGAATCAGAGCATATGGTCAAATACCACCTCTCCTGACCTGCTTTGTATCTGATATAGGACTGGGTTGAGTTCTAACTAGTTGAAATATTAAAACAGTTGCCAAAGAAAGATGGCAGAATCCAGTGTCATTTAAAAATAAATCCTAATGGTAGATTGGAGAAATATGTGGGATTAATTTAACATAAAATTTAGGACTACCTCTCCAGTTTGTACTGTTAAATCATTTGATGAAGTTGGGTGTGTTTTTAAAAAACTGACATAAGAATTACTTTTAAAGATTGGTAGATGTGGACACTTTTACAAACAATCATACTTTTAGGGAAAAGATGAAATTTTAGAATATAATGGGTTCAATTTAGGATTGTAACTATGTAGTGCTTTGCATTTTCTAGAGTCTACAGAGACAAGAGGGAGGATGGAGTGAAGGGAAGGGGGTGCTAGGGTGTTCTAAGGGTGATAGTGTTTATTACTATCCCCCCACAGAAAGAGGAAAGATACACATACAAACAAGGAACCAAGAGAAATGTGTTCAAAACTCAAAAGCATTCAGGATGGCTTGTGCTCATGGTTAAGCTTGGAGCAGAAGGGGATAGAGTTAGGTGGGGACCACATCCTAGAGCCCTGGAGCTTATTTATATTCAACCACTTCAAACAAAGTAAATGAATAGTCTGAACTAAATACAAATTAATTTTCCATTCAGTTAGGATTTTGTCTGATTCCTAAGGTCTTTGTTAGGTAATAATTGTTCCAGTTATGGGTATTTATTATTTAGAGCCGTCATTTTATGCTCAATCACTTGATCATGTGAAAAGCGCAGATTTACAATGACAAGGTCAGCTTTTGAATGGGATGAGTGGAGTATGAGGACCTCATTTATATTTATTGCTTTTCTTTTTAAAACACCACTTTCAGATAGTCCCATGATATCCTTGGCTCATAGATATAACTCTAGAAAAGACTCTAGATTCTGCCTTCTCTGCAATGAGTCATTCATTTCCTCATAACTCACAGTAGCCCACAATTGACAATTGTGGACACTAAGTGTAAGTTGGGTGCATTTTTGTTCATATGACAGTGTCAGTGTGCCTTCCTGATTCAATTCTGAAGCCAGTCACAGTTTGGGGATTCTACGCATAAACTTATTTGTCCCTCAAGTCTCAAGAGATTAAGAGATAAAGAAAAGACGACAGAGCATTTTACTGAGCTGCACCTCAAGAGTCTGATACTTTCTTCTTGTTTATGTTTATATCACATAAACTCAAAAAACTTGGTTGACATTTAAAGCGTATCCAGACTTCAGAGCTTTTGGGTGGTTCCAAAGAACTTTTAATTTTTAATGTCATTAAGTGTTTGTTTTCCTTTATGACTACCTTGACTCATCCAGGAACATTAATTATGCACTAGTTACAACAAACAAAGAAATATAAAGAACTGGCTGGAAGTCCGAGGTTCTGGTTTACGCCTTCGGTGTTGCTTTTGTGTAGCTATTCGCTGGAAGAAGAGGCAGTCGCATTCACTTGCCCGTTAGGTGTATTTAAAAGATAATTTTGAAAGGTGGCCATGAAATACTGTGTTCGGTCATAAAATCATTTACACTTTTCTTATGTCTTTGCTAATTAATGACTTATATTTTTGTTACCACAAGTAAAATTCTTCTGTATGCCTTAATCCTCTCAGTTCACCTAGTTGGCTGTGTGGGGCCAGGACAGGTGACTGATTGTTAGATTTAATCCCTGAAGTATAATCATGCTTCATAGTTTCTGAGACTTTTTTTTTTTTCTCATTTTAACATCTCTGGAATACATTAACTGGAATACATGTTACAATGCCAAAGAAAACACTGAGTCATATTTTAATATGACAAGGATATTTCTTATTGATACATAAGATAAGGATACATCATAATCATGGTATCTTAGAATCCACGAAATAGAGTGTTTACAGAGTGCTTAATAAGGTTATTATATGAAAACATTAGAATGCAATATTGAAATATCATTTGAAAAGAACTGATAGTTTAGTCAGCATTTAAAGCTGTATTCTTGGCAGCTTTAAGTTTTATGCATATAAACATTACAGATGTAAATGTCAATTTTATACAACCTGGACAATTTGATTCTTTCTGGAACAAATATTTACCCTCAAATACTTCAGAAAGAACGGAAGATCGAATGTCTTCTGCTCAGTGTCTTTTGAGATACACCAGAGAATTCTTCAGAAGAGTTTTGAAGGTCTTAGAAGAGATTTGTGGTTTTATTTATGAAAAAAGAAAATCATTAGATTCACTTTTCTCTGCTGACTTTGTGCCAGCCTGAGTTACCCTGAGGGCTGTGAGCCAGAAGATTGTGTGAGACGGCCAGCTGCTTTCTGTGCCTTAAAAATACTCTGGTGGCTTACAAGAGAGGTACAGCTGTTCCCAGGTACTGAGAACTCTGGCTTATGTAGGCTGGATTTAAAAATGGTGAAATAAAACATTTGGGGCATTAAATGACTTATAAGTAAATTCCTATAGGAATATTTATAGTAGCAATAAATGCCTGCTTTGTGTTCTTGACTTTTATCAACTATGTACCACTGAATATATTCTTTTTTATTTTATAGGGTGGATCTATGACATCACACAAAAATATGATTTTTCCTTCTATATATGTGGTTTACTTTACATGGTAGGAATACTCTTTTTACTCATTCAACCATGTATTAGAATTATAGAACAATCCAGAAAAAAATATATGGATGGTGCACACGTTTAGTGTCATGTTATGTTTCATGTAAGATTTCTTTGTGGTACTCATGCCTACCTCACATGGTTGCTGTGAGGAGCCTGTGACTATTGTGGGAAAGCGTTTTGTGTGGTAACTGGCACTGTCATTTGTAAATGCCATTGTCCTTACTCCATTTGAAAGCAGAACTGCCTTTCCATCTGGGGAGAAGCAATACAGGAAGGTATTAAGGTATTAGAGATGACAATGTCGTTTCAAGACAGCCTATTAAGTAATTGGTAGAAATGCCCTTCTAAAAACTATTCTCTCTCATCACCCACTGGACTAGGGCTTTAGATACAGCTTTTAAAACAAAGCTGAGGAATAAAAGCTTTCAACCCAACTACTTTGTAAGGTGAAAATAGAGTATTAACTGCTTCTGGAAAGCTCACAGATAAATGGGTTTTAAGCACAAGAATATGACTAGATTTCAGAAATTAGTTGTTATGGGGAGCTATTGATCTACCAGTGTGAAACAAAGGCAGCTCTAATTTCAAAGGTAATATATTTAGTACAATTAAACAGTTTATATTTTTATGAAAGAATTCTGCATCTGGGGAGTACAATTTTTAAATCTTCCTCTAAGAAAATGTATGCCATCAATCCTAATTCAATCTTAGCCAGTTATAAACTGAATCTAAAGACAAAACCTAAGTAAATAATAGTGATTTCCTTAGTGAAAGTCTTAGTTGTGCATAATCAAGGGCTATGATTAAGGCATTTTATTTGTATCAATGACCTCTTAGTTTATGAGCATGGTCTGAGCCTATAAAAATTTTTTTCCAAGTTTCTCCTGCCCAATAAATAAAATAGACAACTAATTATTGCTGGTTGACATATGAAGTTGGTGGTTAAATTCTTTGTAAAGTGTGTCGCTGATCCAAAGTATAAGACTATCAGGCTGTGAGGGTAATAAATGGAACACCCTCCTGCAGATGTCTGCCTCCCTGACATTGGTGCAGTGGTAACAAACAGCCCATCTCCGACGCTCTTGTTATATAGAGAATTCATTTCCCTGAGCTCAGCACAGTTTTAAAAATAGTTCTCTTGATTGATTTCATACAAAAGATAACTGTGATCCATGACATCAAATAATGCTCTTCCTTTATCCGAGATCTCTATTTTTCTAAGCCAAACATTTTTCAGACTACAGAATGTACTTCCCAGAATCATTTTGAAATTTCTGGCTCCCTTGCTTGTTTACACATATTTTAGAGCTGTTTAAATTTCTACTCACAATTTGCTCATCACACAGAAAAATCCTTTATTATCATTGCCAATGTCTTGGGTCAAATTTAGCTGAAGTGAGTACAGACCATTCTCAATTATCCTTGGTAATTAGAGGCAGGAATGGTAGTAGTAATTGGAATCACAGAATGTTACCCAAAGCCTAATTTTAGCCAGCAGTTTGAGTTTTTCATTCCACCAAACCCTTCAGAACTATTAGCAAGTGATTACACGGACGGTACCTTTTGTCTCATCTCCATGATTCCTGGCTTTCATGCCTGGTGGGAGGGGTTGTGTAATGAAAGGGGCCACCAAAATAACCATAATATAAAAGGCAGCTAATGGAAAGGAGAAACAAAAGCATGGCTAATATATACACTGGGTATTCTCTCCAGTGATACAAAAATTGCCTGTAAATTATTATAGATAACAAATTGCATGTCCTACTCCACTGGGTTCAACACAACGAGACTGATTTGTTATTGTTACAGCTTTGGCTGCTGTTAAAGAATCCAGCTCTCTGTTTTGATAAAGGTAACCTTAAATGCTGAGGTAATGCTCTCACTCTCTTTATATATTTACTATAAGATTAGGATGATGAGATTAGAAAGCCATGTTGTCTGCTTTGAAACGATGACTGCGTTAACTTTCACTCTCTGACAACACCAAGTTAACCAGAGATGGTGTTCAGTGTTCTGAATGGTGCTATCGCCATTGTGTTTTGCTCATTGCACATCATAAATAGGAACTTTTTATCCAATGATCTGGCTTTAGTTATACTCATGTTAGACCTGTTTATGTTCAGTTTGTACAGTTGTTTGTTGATTTAGTGTATTTATGGAAGTGGTGATTATCTACCAAATCAGAAGTTCCCATTTTTCCAAAACAGAGTAAAATCTGCTTGCAATATTGACAACAGAATAAAAGAGAATGCTATAAAGAATTACAGCAAATATATTACTATTTCCTGTTTAGAATATGCTATTATTTACAGTTCTTTGAAAGTATCATAAAGGGTTGACTGTATGTTTATACCATGTTCTTTATAGTTTTCCCTTCACATATCCAAGTAATTTTTATTTACATACAGCTAAATAAATTTTGCCCTATTTAAAGATGGTCAGTGAGTTTTGTATAGAATCTTTGTTTTCTTGGCCTTCAGAGGGAAACTCCTAAAATTGTAACTGATGATTATCTGGTTCTTTGCCCTGGAACAGTTTTTCTCTAGATGTGGTCATAGATCTATGTGGAGAAACCACCTAGGGTGACCGTTAGAAGTGCCAAGTCCGGCTATTAATTTGAAATACACACACTTTTAATGCAACAATTGCATATCTAACATTTTTCCTACATGGGAGCAAAGACAAATGAACAAGGGTTTTTTAAATTTATTGTTTGTTGTATAAAAGACTGGGAACAATTTAAGTGTCCATCAATAGGGAACTGTTAAATAAAGTATAATATTTATGCCAATATTTTTCTTAAAAGACAGATCCATATGTAAAATTAGAAAACAGCATCCAAAATATATTGCTAAAAGGGCAAGATAAAATAAGTTTAATGTGCTCCCAATTATGTTCACTTTAAAATAACTGAGCCTACTCTGGTAATCTAAATAACACTATTTTGTGGAAAGTTAACTATTTTCCCCCAAAATATTTTAGTAAGAATAATGGCATTGCCTTACATTTTTTCAAATTTCTTTAATATCTGGCTTAACAGAAGATATTAGAAGATTAACAAGATTCTCTTATTTGCTTCTGCATTTAATCTGTTGGGATATGTGGTTTTGATTCATATACATGAAGAAAATTCAGCCTCATACATACATATAGTTGGAAAGGGGAGGAGTAATTTAATACTCTTTTCAAATAATTGTGGATTTCTTTTTTTTTTGGCTACCACACTAAAACTCAACCAGTGGTATTCCTTAAAGATTAGTAGTAGTGTGGAATCTGACACCATTTCAATGAACTTTTTGTATAATGTTACATTAAAAAGCATTGCACTGTCTTGCACTTTGAATGGATCTTTTGCCCAATTATGATTTTGTAACATACTGCCTTAGTCATTTGGAAAATATTGGTCCATTAGTTTTATAGATCTTCCAAATATTGTATATTTCACACAATATTTTTAAGAATCATGTGATCATTACATGATTCTATTTATATGGAATGTCCAGAATAGGCAAATCCATAGAGATAAGTTATATTAGCTATTAGCAGAATAGCTAATGGGAAGTTCCTGCTAATGGGCACAGGGTATCTTACTGGGGTGATAAAAATGTCCTGGAACTAGACAATGGTGACGGTCGTACAAATTTGTGACTATGTAAGAATCATGGAATTACATACACTTTAAAGGGGTGAATTTTATGGTATGTGAATTCTGTCTCAGTTAGGACGTGAACAAGCTCATGGAGGTTGATATAAATTTTCCAAAATTCTAATTTCCTTTTGAAAGCTTCAGTATTAATCATTGGCAACAAATACTGCAGTTATTTTCTTTAAAGTGACAGCATCATTTTCATTCCTGTATCTGCCAAATAAAACATGGTGTTTCGTGAAAAAAAAAAGCAATAGTTCAGATTACAACTCAGCTACAGATGTGCTCGTCCCCCAAGACACCACCACTGGACTTCGATTTGCAGTCGAGGGGCTTTGTATACACTTCCCATTTCGTCGCACAGAACATTAAAAAGATGTGGACTCAAGGATAAGACTTAATAAGAGGTGATGATACGTAGTGCTTCGTCGAGGATATCCTCAAGTGAATCTGGCTGTTAGACTGCAAGTGCATGACTGAAAAAAATACCATGACATCTGGTATATTTTGGTGTCACTGCTTTGATGCATGCCAAGGCACCAGCTGTTTGACCCACCATTGCTTTTGCACCATCAGTGCAAACACTGACACAGTTGCTCTGGATCCACCGTGAGAGTAAAGAAAGTTATTTAGTGTTTTGAATGCTTCAGCACCATTTCTGTTTGTTTCCAAGCATTCTCAGATAAGATCTTGGATTAGTTGGTGCTGAAACTGGATGAATACAAGCAGAACAGTGGGTCCAGCCACATCTATTGGTTTGTCCATGTGCAAAACAAAAGTATAATCCTGCAGTGATGATATTAACTCAGCCTTCATGTTTGCAACTAAATCTTTAATTTAACAAGCTACTGTATCATTGCAAAGTGGTGCCGCAGTGATTTCTTTTGCTGACTCTATCCAGCAGGCGTTCAGCAGTGTCAGCTGTACTGGCATATGTAGCTGTTTGAGGCAATTCAGCACACTTACCCTGTGTGGTACTTTAGTGGCTTTTGCATTTCTGTTTGAAAAGCTGTAATGATCAATTTTTGGCTTTTAATGAACTCATCACATCTACATTTCAAATATTCCGTTGCTTTTTCTTTACACTGTGAATGATTACTCTCAAAATGATGCCACAACTTCAGAGGTACCAAGAAGGTAAGATTTTAACATCATAAAGCCAGAGCAAAGATACTTGTTGAGAAATGGTTTGTTTCAGTTCAACTTTTCTCAGTAGGTTTGTTTCAACTTTTTCAGCATCTTTAGGCCTAGATGGTGCAGCTGTGAGCTAAGGAAACAAGATTTCTAACCTCCCTTTTTAAAGCTAATGATCCATCCTTAAATATAATAAAGACAAATTACAAATTTTAGAGTAAAGTATTAAATTCTAAAATAATGTTTTATATAGTTTAAAACTTAGGCATCATTTTGAAGATCATTTTTAAATTGCGCTATAAAATAAGACAACAAAGTATACCTACTTTGTGTCCACATAGGAAAACTTCAGGATATCAAAATAATTTATTGGATGATAATGAACTTACATAAATTATAGCAGATATAACAAAAGTAATTGGCAAGAGCACAGTAAAAGTCCTGAGGACAGATTGAATCAGCTTCTGGAAATGGAACATATTTGTATCCTAAACTCACTACCTAAGAAAATTCTAGAAAACACACACAAAAAATCACACATCCACTAGTCATCAGAGCAGTCACATCTTCACAGGTTATGTAGCCTCTGGAAAATTCTGTTCACTTGTAAAAGAACAAGTGAAAGAGACACATAATGTCTTAGTATTAGGATGAAAATACTTTGACCTCACAGACTGCCAAAAGGGTATCAGGACTCCCCAGGAGTCCCAGCACCACATTTTGAGAAGGATTATGCTGGAGGAACCTCAGGTGTGAGAGGGCCTGAAGACTGGGCATGACTGGTTAGGGGGCTGGCACGGAGGCAGGGCCAGTGGGAGAAGAACGTGAGCCAAGCCACAGACTTGGGAAAGCACAGGAGTCGTCAGGTCCAGTGAAGAGTCTGAAACAAGCAGGATTAGGCGCACGATCAGGCTGAAAAGGTAGGTGAAGGTTGCACAAAGCCTTGAGAGACGATCTAAGAGAAGAAGCTGTGAAGATCACACTGAAAAACACCTTTGCAAAGAGGGCCGTCAGATGATGTGTCTCTGTGCCTTAGTCAAGCACAAGTCTCCTGAGAACAGGAGGGAGCAGAGACTAACCCCACCCACCTTCCCACGCACTCAGAGGAGCATCTCAGAATCTCCAAGGAAGGTTTTCAGACTCTGTCACCTGTGCGGTCCTCCACCGCCATCAGGTAAGCTCCGTGAGAGCAGGGGCCTGCTGTCCTCTTCACGGCCTTCCCGAGCGCCTAGCACGGTGCCTCCCAGCACAGAGCAGAAGCCTGCCGAGCAGCCGGACGAAAGCCCTGAGACGGTGCTGCACGGCGGTGAGCTGAGCACCAGCCGTGAACAGCCCTGGAGAACGGACCGGCCCCAGCGGAGGAGCATCTGCAGGCCACCTGGGGCTGGGAACAGACGAATACTTCAAAGGTGGAAGCCAAGGAGCAGACAGGGAGGAGGAAGCCAGCCAGTGAAGAACGCTGCATGTTAAAGGAGAAAAAGGTAGAGCTGTGTTCAGTTTACGCGAGCATCCCCAGTGCTTAGCCCGTGCCTGGCACAGAGGAACCGATAGTGAACAGTGCTTGAAAATTAAGTCACAAAGAACTCTGAGAAGGGGATACTGGGTTCAGAACTCAGGGTAGCAGCCAAGGAGTAGCTTCAGAAGATGGCTGAGGGCGGGCAAGGAATTACAGGAGGAAGAGGCCAGTGCAGAGGCGACAGTGTTTAAGTGAACAGTTAGGAAGTTTGGTGACAAAGGAGAGAAATAGGATGACACTCAAAGGGACAGGATGAAGTGAGGCTTTTTTTGAGGAGAGACTCAAATGTCAGAAAAGAGAAGGCGTGGGGTACAGTGTCTGTGAAGAGGAGATACTGGAGATGCAAGAGAATGGGGAGGCGACGGGACCGCGGCCCCTGACAGTGGGAGAGGTGAGCGCTGCACATGAAGTGACCCCTGCCCTCAGGTGAGCGCTGCACATGAAGTGACCCCTGCCCTCAGGTGAGCGCTGCACATGAAGTGACCCCTGCCTTTGAGGGCGGAAGGAAGAGAAGGCAGGAACAGGGTCGGGGAGGTTCCGGCGAAGCTGTGAGGCTGTCACCGAGACAGGCTTACTGTCTGTAAGGGGCGGGGGGGGGCAAGGTTTGAAGGTGCACCGTGGGAAGTCCAGGAAGTCGACGGACGGGGGCTGTTACGGCAAGGGAGGGACGCCAGATGGAGCCGGTGGGGGCCTCCAGCTGGGCTCTGCAGCCTGCCAGCCCCGTGCACGTGCTGAGGGGTAAGGGGCACAAGCATTTCAGGCACTGAGGGCTGTGCTGGCCACACAGTCCAAAGAGGACAGGCAGTGAAGTACAGCCAGTGAAGGGCCACGGGGTGAATGGGAGGAGCCCGGTCACAGGAGGCCCACGGTAGGGCAGAGATCAGATTCACAGCAAGAAGACATCCCTCAAAAAGGGAGGCTGGCGTCACACCAGAATGCAGGGACTGCTGCGGAGTGAGCAGCCATGCGGGCCCCGTGGACCCGGCTCATGTGCACCCGAGGCCTCCAAAGTCAAAATGTTCAGGAACAGGGAGGCGGGGAGAGAAGGCTGATGCTGACCGCCAAGGCTGAGAAGCAGCAGCATTCGCCACCTGGGGAAGAGAACTGGGTGGGGGGCCGAGGGCCTGGCGGTGCACTGAAGGCACTCCGACGGTGAAGCGTGGAGAGGGTTGGCCGAGGGCCTCACACCAGCACCAGGGGGCCCCTTCCATGGTCGGGTGAAGGAGAACGAGGTAAGAGTTCCCTGGGAAGGCTCAGTCCCCACATGGACGGCAGTGGCAGGGAGAGAGGCCTGAGTTTGGGGAGGACCCAGGGAGCCACTGGTTCACTCAGTCCCTTACTTAGTTTTCCTGAGGGGTGAGAGGGTCTTGAAGAAGAACTTACTCCTTAGTTACTATTTCAATGAACTTAAGATCCTTGTTTGTAGAAAAAGATGAACAATAACTTCATCAAAAGCTTGGAATATTCTCTGGACAACTAAATCAGCATGGTCCCCTATTAAGCTCAAGGCCCTCCCCCTCCCAATGTCACAAGTGACCTCAGGGAAACCCCACCACCTTTTAAGGCTCCACTGGCCAAATGTGCTGTTGGCCGTGAAAGGGAAGGTGGCATTTGTGGTTAAGAACATAAACCTTGTAGGTATAGGTTTGAATCTCAGCTTTACTATTTGTTAGTTAGGAAAACTTGGGAGAATTAACTTGTCCTCTCTGAGAATAATTCTAGCTTTGCAAGCCATACAGTGTGTATCGTGATTACCTGCTATTGTTGTGTGAAAGTGGCCATAAGTAATACATCAAGTGTGTTCCAAGAAAACTATCCAGAAACAGGTGGCTGGGCAGATTAGGCTTATGCCATAGTTTATACACCCATGATCCATAAGACAGAAATTACATCACTTACCTTCAAGGGTTGTTGTAAGAATTAAGTTGGTAACTACCTGTTTATTTCTTGGCTACAAAGTAGACACTCAATTAACAGAAGCTGCTGTTATTATTATTGTTATTATTACTTCTAAGGTTATTCCAACTCTGTGACCATGGATCTATGGCCTTCAGACTTCCTGATGCGCAGAACAGAGTTCACTGTTGAAAATCATCTGAATGGAAGTCTATGCTGGGGGCACATAGATCTGGGGTTTGACAAGCAGGAAACGAGGTTCTCTAGCTCCTGACGCTGAGGGTTCCATGTCACAAGGGCAGACTAATGCTATCCCAGTGTACAGGTGATCTCATTTCAAAGTAATAAACAGTTTTTACTGTTTTACTTTGTGAACCTGATAGATAATGTTTAAGCACAGATGTGTATTTTTCTTTGGAATGGTGGTAGCCTGTCTACTTAACGTTCTTAATATCCAATCAAAGACATGCATTTCGGAGTTGAAAGGCCTGGATACTTGCTCGCAGTGTATCATTTTAGCAAACTAAAGATAAAGGTCATTACACTACAGCTCACAGCAAAACACTATGCTGCACAAGTGTTTTATGTGTTTATAAGGTTGTCCTAGGTGATTCTTCAGCATCTTAGGAGTCCATTTCGGGTTACAAATGAGGCCCGATGACCATCTTGTACCCAGCAGCTCAGAAAACACTGACAAGTGGTGACTAGGGTGTTGTCCCTACCCCTGATACCCACTCTCTCCCCAAACCATACCTTCACCCTAAGTTCCTGAGCCTACTCGGTAAAATAAAACATTCTGGGTTCCATATAACCGCGGTTTAATGCACATACTATACCAACCTGTTCAGGAAAAGAGCAGTAAGGGAAGTTGACATTAGGTAAAATATATTTATATTTTTTAGTTTATAAAATTAGTCACATTGGTTGTTGTTAATAAATTGTTCTTATAACACTAAACGTATAAACCATTAGAAAATATCAGTATTTTGCTTTTACAGTTACAATGGCAAATGATAACAGAGTAGAAACACTTTTGACTGAGAAAGGGCAAGAGTATAAATGCTGTGGCATTTCACTCTGAAGTGGTATGTCACCAAGCGGATTTTTCTGTCCCTATGGAAGCTGTCAGTAGAGGCAGAGAGGCAGGACCCTGGCTGCCTGTTCCTACTCAGTGGGATTGTCATGTGGGATCTCACATGGGAAATGAGGCCCCGGAGAGGGGGACAAAGAGTTTCAACCACTGAGGATCCTGGTGCCATGCAGGATTTTAGTTTGATGATAGTTATATTTTGGCAAAAATAATTATAATCAGGTAACAAAGCATCCAAGTTATTAGGGCAAATAATTACTGAAATAATCTAGTAACCTAAGTTATTTTAACTATTACTTAACAATGGTCAACATATTAACTCATTTTTAGTTAGTTACCATTAACATCTATTTTTTTATTTTGATTATTTTATATAGACAAGAATTTTCAAATGGCCGTTTTGTGTTCTAATGATTCATGTTGAATCTCATGCATGCTCATGAGCTTTCAGGATCTCAGGGAGGTGATGGAACAACTACACATGACATTTTTAGCTGTTGACATTTTGCATGGAAGTTACAAATGAGTGAAATTTCATATTTACGTAGTTACGTTGACATGCCAACCTGTGCATACACACGGTCGTTGTACACACAGCGTAGTAACCTATGTTCTGTCACTGCAAACCTGGCCGTGAGTCAAGTCTGGAACATCAGGGAGAAACGAGACAGGAGGAGCCACCCAGAAGCAGGTGCCCTCCGCCTGCGTGCCAGTCACCCGCGCCGCCCTGGCAATCTGTCCTTGGCAGGGAATGAGGCCAGGGTCTCTCGCCAATTAAACCTTTGCTTGGACCAAATGCACATGAAACTTCGACAGGCTCCTCATCTGCCAGGAAGCAGCTTGTGCTTGATTTCACAGGTGTCACTGGGAATCTCATGGGTGACTGAGTGCTAAGGGTGTGTGGATAAGGGTTAAAATCTGATTTGAAATTAATGCAGGTTTAATAAAAAGTAGTAATTGGTCACTAGAGCAGCTATGGGACTGTTCCAGATGGACGTAGGTGGGGAAGGCCCTCAGAGCCTGCCTCCCCTGCCCCGCTCAGGAGGCCCCACTGTATCATCAGGGACAGCTCTGCACCGGGGCGGGGAGGGATTCGGTTATTTTTTCCAGGTACTGAAGTGGAGGTTGCAGAGAAAAAAGAAATGATAAGGGGATGGGACATTGAAAGCTACTTTGCTCAGTAGCCTAAAAGGAGCCATTAGATTATTTGCTGCTCTCAGTTCAATGTCTGGGGATACTTAATCAGCCCGAGAGCATAGGAAGAAAGCAATTTCTAAATAACCCATCCCACGGAGGTAGAGTTTCCTCCCTTACATCCATGCTTTTTGTGCCCCTCTGCCAAGTTGACGATACAAACTGTGCTTAGGTTTCCAGTCCGTTACCCCAGCCTGTGTTCTTAAAAATCCCTGTTATAAAATTCGTAGCTGTCACATTCCTTTTGGGGAGCAGCACCCTTCTAAGAAATCCTTCTAAGATTTACATGACAATGTGAAGTCCTGGGCAGTTGGACTATGGACAAGGTCTGCAAGCAGAAAGCTGAGCCTTCTCTCCAGCCATGCCCCAGGGCCAGGTCAGAGGTTGCCTGTGGGGAGGATGGAGCCCGGCATGTCCCAGGCCACCAGATGGGGGTCCCTGAATACAACTTGGGGGAAGGTTGTTGGATGGCCACTGCACTCACCAGGCCCCCCTCCCCTACCCTGCACCAGTTCCCTGAGAGGACACGCAGCCACCTGCTCCGTGGCTGAGTCAGTGACGCAACAGATGAGTCAGATGAACACGGAAAAGGTTCAAAAGCCCCATTCTCCTTTCGAATGCCTAGATAAAAGTGCTATGTGATAAAAATCTGCTAATAACCATTTATTGTTTGTTTCTATACAGCAGAAGCCTTTCTTTTCTCAGGGGTGTCAGGGGATGGGGAAGACATGCTGTGGGACTCTGGGTCCTGCAGCCCCGTGCTCAGGGCCACGATGCTCACCGCACTACTAGGTGGACTGCAGGGTCAGGTTCTGCTGTGCGTGCGGGCAGATACTCTGTGCTTTGCAGATGGCTCCTGAATCAGCAAAACCTCATAGTTCTTAATGAAAGGAAACAGAAGAGATTTGGACACATGAAAAAAAACACAACCATGACTCAACTTCCCAGCAGACAGGAAAATGCATCCCTAAAACTGACTGTCCGTCTGGTCTTGTTGTCTTTGTTTCCTCTTGCGGAGCTGCCGCTGGAGCTGCAGCTTGTTGGTGAAGAACATCTGTCTCCATCCCATGTCCTTGGCCAGGGCCCTCATGTCAGGGGTGATGTGGTCACAGGCAGACTGAACGATCTGCTCCCACAGTTTGTCACACTTGCACAACTATGGGTGGAAAAAGCCAGAGGTGGGTCATGTCACACACGGCTCCAGCAAAAGTCATCCAGTCACTCACAAAGTCCCTGTCCAGCTCCTGCGGCCTGTGGGACCCGGGAGGAAACACTACACAAGCATGAAGACATGCCAAGCACAGCTCCTGCCTCGGACACTTCCTCTTTGAGGACAGAGGTGAGTGCACAAATATCAAAGGACAAGACAACACTTGATTAGTGGAATAAATCAATTCCTGATCTCAGTTAAGATGCAAAATGCAAGATACAGTTGACCCTTGACAAGGGTTTGAATTGCGTGGGTCCACTTATACATGGATTGTTTTCAATAAATATGTTGGAACAATTTTTGGAGATTTGCAACAATTTGAAAACCCATAAATGAACTGCATAGCCTGGAAATATCTAGAAAATTAAGAAAGGTATGTTACAAATGCATAAAATATGTAAATACTAGTCTGTTTTATCATTGACTACCATAAAATCAGCAGTAGGCTACTAATAGTTAAGTTTTGGAGAGTCAAAAGTTATACACAGATTTTTGACTGCACAGGGGGTGGGGGTGGGGGATTGGGAAGGGACCCCTAAGGCCCATGTTGTTCAAGGATCAACTGTACTTATAAGTATTGCATAATTAATTTATATACATTCAATATTGTATGGTTAGTTTCCAAGTATCCACATAACAAGAGACTGATAATGATGTGGTCAGCCGACCTTCTGCCCAGAGCCACAACTTCTCCAGTGGGAGCATGGCTTACTCCTGCTAAGCTGGCATTCATTTAAAACCTTCGCTCAAGCCATCTCTCCCCTGGGCTTATACAGCTGACAGCTTAGTTCACCACAGCTACTCAGCAGAGAGCCACATCAAAATAAACAAGCAGCCCTTGGAGACTACCAACCAGCATGTCTATCCACCCATTCCTGGTCTAGGGTCCCATCCACAAATATTTTGCTCTTAGTCCTATGGACATGTGACATCATACCACATACCACAGTGGCCCCGAAGATTCTATCTAATCCCCAAGCCTGCCTGGAGCACGACAAAGTGAGCCATCCTCTGAGAGTAACCTGGGAGGTTCTTCTGCAGTCTGGGCTTTAACCAGGTGCCATGAGGTTAAGGACAGACAAGGCCCCTCTGGCCTAGGATTTGCACAAGGCCATTTTGCCTTCCAGTTCGAAGGTGCCACAATTCAGTTTCCATTTATCCAAGTTTTCCTTATATGATTTTTCAGTTGGCACCATTATTTATGGTAACTACTCTCATTGGTCTCCTGCTACTAACACTATTATTAAATGGAGATTTTCTGACCCCTTACTTAACATATCTGCAAGTCCTTCCTGAAAGTAATGTGCTCTAAGAAGGGTTCCATGTGGGCCTTCACCCCCTAACCTGTGGGCCTGGACATGGTATGGATACTCCACATCTAAGGGGTGAAGCCCTGAACATTTCAGAGACCTTGCAGGGTGGGGAAGCCTGGCTGCCTCCCTTCTCTCTGGGAGGGAGGCCCTCTGACCCCACAAACTTGTTCAAAGTTGCTGGGCTCTGTCCCTCTGCTCCCCTGAGACACAGCACTGCTCTCTGCCTGCTGCCACTACCATGCCAACCTGTGCCTCACAGGTAAAACAAGCTGTGATACCCACCCCAAGCACCAGGACTGGGAGCCATCCAGCATTCAACAGCTTTCTGAAGGTACACGGAGAGAGCCATGACTTTGTCCTCTTACCACTCACTGCAGCTCACCTGGCTACACGCAGCTGCCCACACCCACCATTCCCCAACCCAGGCAGTCAAGCATTCTGCCAGCCCCACCCAGCCCAGCCTGGGCTCTGTCCAGCCTTGGTCCTGAGCATCCTAACTTCTTTCTGGGGAAGGGAAATCATGTAAGTGTATCTCTTATGTCATGACACCATCACATCACACTTTTGAGCAGAAAGCAGCCAGTATTCTTTACTGGTTCTAAAATTTACTTATTCTATAAGTACTCTAATAAGGGAAAAGAATTACAAATAAAAATGAATAGCATTATAAAGCATAATTACTTAAGATCCTTTCTGTATAAATACCAAAACAAAAATGATTATATATTCACATAATGGTTACTGTTAAACAGCAACACTAAATGTTATGATATTGACAGTCCCTACAACATTCTGTTAGTCAAATCATTATCTTATCCCATCTTTAGTTTCTGTACTCAGATTACAACATATTCAAAATATAAACAAGAAAGAAAAACTCTTGGAAAATGTCTTAATGTTAAAAAACAAAACAGATCTTCTGAACCTCCTTTAAAAGATTTGAACTTGAACATTAGTGTAAATGGCTATCTCATTACCAGCACCATACATTTTGGGATATCAGTGTGTCTTATATAATGGAGATTATGGGAGAAAATAATGAAGGTTTGTATCAGCAAAAGAGCTGAAATTGCCACTAGTGTAACTTCATTTATGACTCATATTTTAAAATGAAAATATTTAGTTTTGATTTATATTATAAATTGGTCTATGAAATACCCCCATCTAAGACTCCCAAGCCCTAGGGCTCTTTTGTTTTGTGTTAAGTGACAGGTTGAAAAAAAACAAGGTACTCCTCTTATGGGCCCAGCTGCTTTGATTCAAAGCACAGCTACTTGTAGCTCTAGCTCCTCCTGGTGGTGGTGTATGAACTTAACAGACATAAACTATCAAAAACTGAAAGGGTCCTGGGGCTTATCTAGTTAAAGCCTCTCCTTTCGTAAATGGGGAAATTAAGGCCCAAGAGAGGATGGGCACTGCCCAAGGCTCATGGTGGAAGCAGATGAACACAGAACAGAACCCAGCTGTCCATCCTCGTTTCCAGCTGTTTAGAATCCTTGAGATCTTTACTGTGCAGTTTTAATATCAATTGGCCAAATTCTTGGACTGGATTCTTAGAATTGGGTTGCTGCAAAACCAAGACAACATGTTAAAAACACAGATGCTGGGTCCACCTCAGACCCACCAAATCAGACAGTCTCGAGTGTGCGCCTGGCACCTGTTTTCACCTGCTCCCTAGGGGCTTCGCCTGTGGGGCCAGACTTGGGAATCATAAGGGCATTTGTGGACATGAGGAAGAATCTGTTTCTCCACAGCCAAAATGTGACCCAGGAGAGATTTTCTCAGTGGGTCTTAGAGCTATTCCTGAGGCACAGCCAAGGTGAATGCGAGTAAGAGGGGACATGGGAGATGAGGTGGCGATGGACGGCCCTGGAATTTTGGATGCTACAGGACCGGTGAAATTTCTAGAAATCAAACAAAAATAAAATGCCAAAATAAGGTTGCTGACTTTTTAATTTTGCCAAGTAAGGATAGGTTGTTAAAACGATCATGTTTAATGCCACTACTTCATAAAAGAAGAAGCATTTTAACTCTCCCCAAAAGAAGCAGGCCTGACCTCCCATAGAGGATGGTCATTTAAATGGAATACATTTGGCTTATGTCCAGCTTCATTTTGCCCT